AATACGGATCTGAGTCGGTATGTTTCATCACAACAAGAGAGAGAGAGAGAGAGAGAGAATACCGATGCTTTTGAGGATACACTCGTTGAATTTCCCAGCACGTAGTACATATTCTGTCGGCTCAGTAATCACCTGTACAGTTTGCAATGCATTCTATCCGCCCAACCCTATACAGTTCTACGTCCCGTTTTATGCAATTGTCATGTGGTTCTGTATTCAGTAAACGAAACCAGGTCATTGGAAAGAGTACCTGACTTTGAGTGCATGATATTTTATTTTGTATAAATATTTGTATAAGTTTGCTGAGATGGTTGACAATCTGAGTGTTCAGAATGTTACTGGCAGGAATGTTTATTAGGATAATGTGATGGTGCTAATTATATGGTAAATTATATCTTAACTTGACCTATGATGTTTAACCTTGTGTATAATCACTTTAATAAACACTCTTTCGCTGGGATTTTTAAAAATTTGTGTTCTGATGTTAGGTTAGGTTAGGTTAGGAGCTTTTGAAGACCTTCGTTGTACCTGATAGATGAAGACGCTTATGAAATGAATCAACATTATGCTTTACCTGTAAATGTAATTGGAAAACATTAAATAAACACTTTCTTGTGTCCTAGATCTTCAGTACTTTACACACTTCAATTGATATTACATAATTTATTTCAGTGTTACACAAAAGGAACATTTTTAATTGCATGACTCCTTTGTTCTTCCATCAAATTAACGGAGATACATCGAAGAAATATATGATACTGAATTAGTTTATGATCACTATTATACTTTTAGAAAATTTCAATTTTCTCTTTGGTTGTCTGTATAGCTTCAAATTTGTTTTTGGACATTTGTAAATATATGAAAATAACACACACTCATGTTAACTTTCTTCTTTAATACAAAAATACATAAACATGTAACATAAAAGATCATTTACACAAAACCACATTTTTTTTACATGTATTTTTTTTCACCAGAGATTCCTATATACATTTACAGTAAACAGTATATATTTTTTTCCTTAACCCCGTGATACACTGAGGTGGAGCCCAGCTGAGGTACCTTGGGTTAGGTTTTGCTATAGCACCTGTTTTGGTAACTTTGATCCATCATACATCATATATGATTCACTTAACTAAACATAAACTATGAAGGAACAGTTTTGAGGAGAATAGAACGTTCAGACATAATAACATTTTCAAAACAGTAAAAGATGGTATATGCCAGAACGACGAATTTACAATATGCCTGCCAGGATTTTACTCGTTGCTAACTGTTTAACTCGTTGCTTCACTCTCTTGTGTCTGACAGTGATGGAAAGGCAATTTGTCGAGACATTGAACCACCCTAATGATACCCGCTTGGTTCATTTATTCACCATTTGATGTCAGACTGCCTGAAGATAATTTATATCTCTCGTGAACAGAACAGCAAGAAAGGATAAAGATGTATTAAATGTATGTAAAATGTAGCTATTATTATTACTGATACGAAACCCGAGTAGATTGTGAAGGTATGAAGTGAGATTTATTAATTTGCTTAAAAGAGAATCAAAACACATGACTTGCCATCACTGTAGATGAACCAAGGGCTATCAAACGAGTAGACTGTATAAATAAAATGAACTAATCTACAGTAACGTTATCCATTTAGACAAAGCCATATACCTGCAAACTTATCCCCGTCGTAATATTTTACTGTATAATCCAATTGGTTATTATGCTGAAACGTAACCATCGAAGTATGATAATTAATAGGAAGAAATATCATGTTATAATACTTGGAAGGTTGTAGAGATAAGCATTAATATGTTAACCACCTTGCATATCTGTTTTATGGAACCTACAATGATAAGCAGTTAACCATTTAAATGTTGATGATAAGTATTAATTAAATACTATAAACACAAGCCTCCTATATCTATAACATTAATTCTTGCTATATACATATTCTATACCTGTTGGGAATTAATATGATTTTTAATAAGAATCTGTAATGTTAGTTAAGATGATAATTGGAAGATTAATTATTATAGATTTGGTTAAATCTAGTGAAGCCAAATGATGCTTAGAATCGGTTCAGTCATCAGGACCTTTTCACTGGTGGTGTTGAGTGCGGTGATATGAGTGGAACCCTGAAGCCTTAACCAAATAAATGATCCATATACAGGAGCTTTATAATGATGAGTATTAATTCATGAAGCCTTATAATTAGGAACATTGATACATAGAGTGAAGCCATGTGGCCAAGAAGTGGTCTCTTCACAGGAGCCTTATAAAGATGAGTATTATTATTGTCGTTTGATAGTCTTATAAAGATGAATATTGATCCATTTTGTGAAGAATAATGACAAGGAATAATGATACCTTAAAGGTGTAATCATAAATGTGGATCTGTTTCAGGAGCCTTGTGGTGATGAATATTGATCCATTTTTTAGCCTTATGATGATGATTATTGATCCATTTCCCGGAGCCTTATGACGATGAATATTGATCAACTTCCCGGAGCCTTATGATGATGTATATTGATCCATTTCCTGGAGCCTTATGATGATGATTATTGATCCACTTCCCGGAGCCTTATGACGATGTATATTGATCCATTTCCTGGAGCCTTATGATGATGATTATTGATCCACTTCCCGGAGCCTTATGATGATGATTATTGATCCACTTCCCGGAGCCTTATGATTATGATAATTGATCCATTTCCCGGAGCCTTATGTAGATGTATATTGATCCATTTCCCGGAGCCTTATGATGATGATTATTGATCCACTTCCTGGAGCCTTATGATTATGATAATTGATCCATTTCCCGGAGCCTTATGTAGATGTATATTGATCCATTTCACGGAGCCTTATGATGATGAAGATTGATTCATTTTAGAGCCTTACAATGTTGATTATTGATCCACTTCCCGGAGCCTTTGATGGTGAATATTGATTAATTTTGGAGCCTAATGATGATGAATATTGATCCATTTTTGGAGCCTTATGATAATATATATTGATCCATTTCCTGGAGCCTTATGATGATGATTATTGATCCATTTTTGGAGATTTATGATGATGAATATTGATCCATATATTGAAGCCTTATGATGATGATTAATGATCCATTTCCCGGAGCCTTATGATGATTAATATTGATCCATATATTGAAGCCTTATGATGATGATTATTGATCCATTCCCGGAGCCTTATGATGATGAATATTGATCCATATATTGAAGCCTTATGATGATGAATATTGATCCATTTCCCGGAGCCTTATGATAGTGAATATTGATCCAAATCCCGGAGCCTTATGATAATGAATATTGATCCATTTCCCGAAGCCGTATGATGATTAATATTGATCCATATATTGAAGCCTTATGATGACGAATATTGATCCATTTCCTGGAGCCTTATGATGATGATTATTGATCCACTTCCCGGAGCCTTATGATGATGATTATTGATCCACTTCCCGGAGCCTTATGATGATGATTATTGATCCATTTTTGGAGCCTTATGATGATGATTATTGATCCACTTCCCGGAGCCTTATGATGATGATTATTGATCCACTTCCCGGAGCCTTATGATGAGTAATATTGATCCATATATAGAAGCCATATGATGATGAATATTGAGCCATTCCCTGAAGCCTTATGATGATTAATATTGATCCATTTTGAAGCCTTATGATGATGAATATTGATCCATTTCCCGGAGACTTGTGATGATGACTATTGATCCATTTTTGGAGCCTTATGATGATGATTATTGATCCACTTCCCGGAGCCTTATGATAATGAATATTGATCCATTTCCCGAAGCTTTTGATGATGATTATTGATCCATTTCCCGAAGCCTTATGATGATGATTATTGATCCACTTCCCGGAGCCTTATGATGATGAATATTGATCCACTTCCCGGAGCCTTATGATAATGAATATTGATCCATTTCCCGGAGCCTTATGATAATGAATATTGATCCATTTCCTGAGCCTATGATAATGAACATTGATCCGCTTCCCGGAGCTGATGATGAATATTGATCCACTTCCCGGAGCCTTATGATGATGATTATTGATCCACTTCCCGGAGCCTTATGATGATGATTATTGATCCACTTCCCGGATTAAAGAATATTGATCCAATTCCCGGAGCCTTATGATAATGAATATTGATCCACTTCCCGGAGCCTTTGATGATGATTATTGATCCACTTCCCGGAGCCTTATGATAATGAATATTGATCCATTTCCCGAAGCCTTTGATTATGATTATTGATCCACTTCCCGGAGCCTTTAGATGATGATTATTGATCCACTTCCCAGAGCCTTATGATGATGAATATTGATCCATTTCCCGAAGCCTTTGATGATGATTATTGATCCACTTCCCGGAGCCTTATGATAATGAATATTGATCCATTTCCCGAAGCCTTTGATGATGATTATTGATCCACTTCCCGGAGCCTTATGATGATGATTATTGATCCACTTCCCAGAGCCTTATGATGATGAATATTGATCCATTTCCGAAGCCTTGATGATGATTATTGATCCAATTATGCTATGATAATGAATATTGATCCATTTCCGAAGCCTTTGATGATGATTATTGATCCACGGAGCCTTTATGATGATGATTATTGATCCACCCGGAGCCTTATGATAATGAATATTGATCCACTTCCCGGAGCCTTGATGATGATTATTGATCCACTTCCTGGAGCCTTATGATCCATTTTGATCCATTTCGAAGCCTTTGATGATGATTATTGATCCATTTCCCGGAGCCTTATGATGATGATTATTGATCCACTTCCCAGAGCCTTATGATAATGAATATTGATCCATTTCCCGAAGCCTTTGATGATGATTATTGATCCATTTCCCGGAGCCTTATGATGAATATTGATCCATATATTGAAGCCTCATGATGATGATTATTGATCCACTTCCCGGAGCCTTATGATGATGAATATTGATCCATATATTGAAGCCTTATGATGATGAATATTTATCCATTTCCCGGAGCCTTATGATGATGATTATTGATCCATTTCCCGGAGCCTTATGATGATGAATATTGATCCATATATTGAAGCCTTATGATGATGATTATTGATCCATTCCCGGAGCCTTATGTTGATGAATATTGATCCATATATTGAAGCCTTATGATGATGAATATTGATCCATTTTCTGGAGCCTTATGATAATGAATATTGATCCATATATTGAAGCCTTATGATGATGATTATTGATCCACTTCCCGGAGCCTTATGATGATGAATATTGATCCATTTCCCAGAGCCTTATGATGATGAATATTGATCCATATATTGAAGCCTTATGGTGATGATTATTGATCCATTTCCCGGAGCCTTATGATGATGAATATTGATCCATATATTGAAGCCTTATGATGACGATTATTGATCCACACCCCGGAACCTTATGATGATGAATATTGATCCATATGCCGACGCTCTTATGATGAATATTGATCCATATATTGAAGCCTTATGATGATGAATATTGATCCATTTCCCGGAGCCTTATGATGATAAATATTGATCCATATTTCGGAGCCTTATGATGAAGAATATTGATCTATTTCCCGGAGCCTTATGAAGATGAATATTGATCCTTTTCCCAGAGCCTAAAGATGATGAGTATTGATCCATTATGTGGAGCCTGATGATGATCCTCATTAGTAGACTCATATTGACGATGAATATTGTAGACTCCTCTACACTCTTGTATCAGGCATGGTGAGAAACATTCATTACCTGATATCACTAAACATCAGATAAGAGTAGCGACGTGGGTCCACATTCTCAACATTCTTTACAATGCTTAAGTAACTCGAAAGCATTATACCAGCAGACCTTAGCTTTTATGTTGCTATGAGAGGTTAAAATGATCCACACTAAGTATTCATGTGGAAAGGCTTCGCTAAACTCAATGTAGGTGGGATGTTCAGTAGCCTTGTTGGTCGTCGGATTTGCAGCGCGTCTTGGTGATTTCTTGAGCATTGAGAACGTCCATTTGTAGTGGATGTTGTTGTCGAGACGAGGAGATATGGAAACCCTTATACATTCTATTCGTATAAATAGATTTCTGAGGGTTCATCTATAGTGTCTCTGATAATGTCCTCAACTGTATATTATTTGCCAGGTGAACTATTTTATTCTGATATGCTTATAGTTGATATGGCAATAGAGTGTTTGCCATCATTCAGTGACTGTCAACGATACTTATAAAGGAATTGTGGTTTGGTGGAGAGTTTTATCTGAAGTATATAAACTACTACGATTTGAGTAGTGATATACAGACGAGCCATCATATATCATAATATAGTTCGACACATTTAAGGTCCTTTCCTGTTATTTTTTTTTCTTGTTTCTTGTTTTTGGGTATTTTTTCTTCATGAAAGGACATAAATTTGTTCATTTTGTAGGTATCTTGGTTATTCCCTACAGCGAAGAGTCATATCATCTGGTACCATGGAAGGCAAGTCATATAGCAGACTACATCACACACACACACTTGTAGTCTTGGCATCTTTTAGGTAAGGTTGGTGATGATAGCAATAACCTTCACTTATCCACAATGCCAGAGTGTCAGCTATGCCTGGTACTGCTGGGGGGTGAGCCACACGCCACCTCTGCAAGCAAAAATAAAAGAAATTAGTATATATGTCTATTATAGTATGTGTGGATCTGTTTATCGTCTGTCAGTTTATTTTGTGTGTGTGTGTGTGTGTGTGTGTGTGTGTGTGTGTATGTGTGTGTGTGTGTGTGTGTGTGTGTGTTGACTGTCTAGGCACAAAAGTGAGTGAGGGTGATGACTGAGAAAAGAAACGGAGGATAACAATGCCAGATAAAGATGCTGAACAAGGATATGTTATAAACCTTAAGTTAAAACTGGATATATTTCACAAAGATGTTAAGTTGAGATGCAAAGTGTGACAGAGAGAGAGAGAGAGAGAGAGAGAGAGAGAGAGAGAGAGAGAGAGAGAGAGAGAGAGAGAGATAAGTGTCTAATTTGTGATGACAACTGTTCGTAGATTGTATACGTGATATCCCACACTTATATGCCACTCCTCCCCTTCAACAACGTAGGACCAATGACAACGCCATGATAAGAACACAAACACAGGATTGGTTGCTGGTGTGAGAGCAACACATACCATTGGTCGACAAAGTTTCAGATTGACCTTGATTTCTCCCGTCATATCGCCGCCTCGGGGACTTATAAACGGCAGGTGGAATGACTGAAATAGCCAGCTCGGGGTGAACCAAACATCAAGGATCATACACTATGGACCCGTCAGCACCGTGGCCATGGGTGATCATATCTTTACCAGTGGAGGAGGAGGAGACGACCGATACCTGAACATGAACAGGAGAGGTAAGGCTTTCGTCTCTGTTTATGATATACACTGCTTGGAATTTTTCACATAAGGTGTTTCTGTGAAGTTAGATACGAGTAAATATGCTGTTAATTTCTATTCATCTTTCACAATATGATCAGTATACTTCAGGTAGTTCTAAATGTGTTAAACTGTCTGTGGTTTCGGCAGAATAAGGATGGTTTGGCCCGAGGAGGAAGAACTGCTGCAGAGGTTATGTGATCAGCTAAGACGCTTGACGTTTTACTGGCGGTCTCTCAACATTACCTAGCCTGCCTTAACATCACTCAGCGGGCTTCAACATCACCTAGCGGTTCTCAACATCACCTAGCTTGCTTTAACATCACTCAGCGGGCATCAACATCACCTAGCGGTCTTCAACATCACCTAGCAATCCTTAACATCACCAAGCCTCTCTTAACACCACCTAAAGTGCCTCGATCCTGTACCCCTCATGTCCTATCTAGTCACCTCCAACATGCAGCACATCTAAACAACTAAAAAAAATAATCTTATAACTCCTCAAAAATTTGTTTCCATCGATTTGATCTTTTCTGAACTATTTTTTCCCCAACTAAAGTAACTCTGATGTTTTATTTATAGTTAGCCAAGGTTTATATTTTTTGTCTTACTTGAAGATAAATATTATGTAGGTATCTTATTATAAGAGCATTACAATATAGTCTTGCTTCTCTGGCTGGTTCATGATACTACTATGTTATTTAGTTCATCTGTAGTTTTAAGATTCCCAGTGTTACATTTGAGCCCACTAGCTTGATTGTCTTTCTCGAATAATACTTTTCTACACGGGAAGTTTATATACTTTTTATAGACTTTTTTTATCAGTATATGCAGTACAAACAAGTACTTCATATAGCAATACTTTGATCCATTTATTTGTGGAGCCTGAAGGAATAATCGTTTATCATTTTCTTATATCGTGAATTACCTTTTTTTATATTAATTGAAATATAATAATAACTATATTTCTCTGTAGTATTAAGTGTGTAGTGATCAGTGTCATTGATCACTGTAGGTTATTATGATCATTCCCATTAGTGACTATAACAACATGCTATTATTGGGAAATATAAATTTTCACTAATTTACCGCAGTAATTCAGATAGATGGCTATAATGCTAATCAAGTCGATACAATTTTCTTAATAATTTTTCTCTATTTAGTATTATGAATATGATGTAATTAATGATTTTTGATTGTATGATGTATTAATTGTTAGTATATAATGATCGTTTGTAGCTGAGTTTGTAGCATTATCCTGTGTTACAAATATTAATAATTTGATCCATGTATTTATGGAGCCTGAAAAAGGTTAGAATTCGAATAGACTTTTTTTGTTAACGATTTCATATTTATATACTGGGTGTCCATAAACGATCACCCTAAAAAGGTATGCTCTCATGTTTTTAGCAGGGTAATCATTTATGGACACCCTGTATTTCTAGTCATTGAATAATTTATATTTTTTGTACTGATGACAATAAAAATATACATGAAATTGATTTTTTTGTCTTTTTTAATATTCCATGAAAAATATTCTTGTTTAATCTTATATACTTAGTGGTACACATAGTAAGTTGTATACATGAAGCACTAGGCAACATAGGTGAATCATGGGACAAAAACCACAACTACTTAGTCTCATTACCGACTACAAAAGGGAACTATGGCATTTAATTTTCACCTTAAAATTGACAAATTAAAAAAAAAGTCGAAATTACTTACACATCACCCTCATTATAACTAACCTAACCTGATCAAACCTATATATTTCATAAGTAATATAACCAATACAGAATATAAGTTTCCCCTCATCATCAAATCGCTATAAATTCGCCAAATCTCTTAAAGTAGAGAGTTATTGCACGATATATTTCTAGCACCTGAACGCTAGCCTCACTTTATGACAGCTTCATCAGTAAGCTGCCAGTTACCCCCAAGAAGGTAGGTCTAGCAGCTGTCTCATGCTCCTGATGTACAGGTATTGAAAAATCTGTTTTCTGTGTATATATATATGGATGAAATAAATGCCTGAAGCGATTTATACCGAAGGAAAGGAACAAGTTGGCTCATTTATATATATACACAGATAGTTTTTTTAATATATAATGTTTTTCTCTACACTAGAAAATATTGCATAGATTTGAATATTTTAATTTGGAAACGGCTCTTATATTATTGTTTTTATCATAGTTTATTCAGATTTAACAAAGATATATAAAGTAGTAACTAGAAGATGAAGAAAAAAATAACACACACACATATGTAAGAGTGTCCTTAGTATGTGTGTCATGATAACCTCAACAGTACAGTACTAAGAAGATAACAAGATAACAGGTCAGATAAGGAGCGTCTTGACACAGTTGTCTTGGTTTCGTTACTGAGAATACTTATACATGTAGGTGTTTCTAAGATGAGGAGTAGTTTCAAGTTTTTTCTTACAATGCAACACCTTAAAGAATATATATTTTCTGAGAGATTTACATGAAATACACAATAGTGGATAAAGTGATATAGAGTATAATGCAGACTACAGTTGACTCTTGTTGTGAAAAGTTAATTGAGTTAGATACTTTCTGTTGTAGAGTTATAATGTCTTCATTTATGTAATGCATAGGGCGAGCGTAACTTATGGCTAACCACATGATATAATGAAATAGTAACTTAAATCTATTGTTATAATGATTGTAGAAATATGTTAATTCCTTCATTATAGGGACTCTACTTTAAGGATTATATTTGGTTAACGCCAGATGATTTTATTCAGCTCAGAGGCGACAGTACACAAGGGGTTTGTTAGCTATCAGATTATGTCCA